CCCCCCCCCCCCCATTCCCACCTTCATTAATCGATGTCGAATTTACAGAAGTGTGGAACTTTCAGTGTTAACTAGTTGGGGTTTTTAGGGATAACATTAAGGTAATTTGTGGATAATTGAATTATTGAAGTCAAAGTTGTCAGAACTGGTTTGTATCGATTTGTATTTTGCATGTATACCAAGGCAGAACCGAAACACTCAACAGAAAAAAAGTAAGGGAAACTGAATTTTTCTTTCAATATAGAGTATTGATAATTTAGAATTTTTTTGTGCTCGATATTTTTTTTTGCTGGTGTTAGTGATGTTCGATTTTTTTTTCTTCCATTCGACACATGCTCGATATTTTTTTTCGGATTTGCGCCCCCCCCCCCCATGAAAAATCAAATGGTCCGTCCCTTATATGCGGGGCCGCAGGAAATAGATGGGAAAGCAAACGATTCAAAGCAATCTAATACTTGTGTATCATGACGCAATTGTAGTCATCTATATGGTAATATCATCTATTACATGTTCATTTGAAGACTCAAACATGACGCATATGGGATCCCAGTGGGGTGTGCTTGTGTGTTGGAGGAAGGTGAAAAGCTTGTCTCAAAAGTCCGGCATCATCAGTTTCAGTTGGGCAAAATTTTCTTTGCCCTACCAACAAATTTAGGCCTGTACGCCTATGCCCAAAAGTGGGAGGGGGGCCAAATAATATTATGCATAATTGCATTCCAAATTAATTAAGTAAAAATGGTCGTGTCCCTAGCTTTAGTTCCGATAAATAGTCACAATGCTGCGTTTCGATCTTGAAAATACAATAAATTCTGCTAACACTTTAATGTTATTTTTCATTTATTTTAGAGCTGCAAAATATTGTGCAAAGTCGGCGATAAGCGCGCATGCCATCCAAATGCAAACAACTCCTTTTTGTGAAGTGTCGACGCCTAATTCGCCTACCCTCAGTCCATGTTGGACTCCAGGAATTGATGAAACTATGACATGCGCAAGTATCATGCAAAGCAAAGATGTCCTAAACGTTTATAATACAGCCATGGATGACATCGCAAGAAATATACTTTGTTCTCGAGAACCTTTAGATTTACAGATTAATTCTTGGAACAGCATTAGTGTAAAACAACAACAACATTGCATTAAAAAAGCAACTGAAGTCTGTATGCTTGTATGTGATGTAATAGCCCCAAACAATGGCCAACAGCTGTTTGAAGCTATGGCGTCTTCGAACCCAGTAAAGCTGGAAGGTGAAACTAGAGTGGATGACTTGGTGAAAACTCTTATGAACGCATATAAAATTGCTAGTAACAGAAACACCAAAACCCAAATCCTCAGTCTGTATGCATACAAATATTCTATCGGCACTTTAAAGAAAAATTAACTTGCCGTACGAAAAATTGTCTTCACGTCAAATACACAAAGCAAGATGTCACGCAAAAACCCTAGGACCAGGCACTGTGCCTGAAAAAAAGAAGTATCATCGTGTGCGGGTTGACATGAGCAAAGTGGACCATTTCATTGAGTTTATAAATCGTCCATACTTCTACCAGGACGTATCATATGGAAGTAGAATCTTGAAACTCGACAATGGGAAAACCATGGAGATGCCGAACGTTGTGCGCACCGTAACGGGGTCAACGATGATAAGCCAGTATGCACAGTTTTGCCGAGAGGAAAACGTCGAGCCGCTAGGTCGTTCCACGTTATTTAAAATTTTAGAAGTTAGGGAAGCATCTCAAAGAAAATTTTTACAAGGGCCTAGACAATACTGCTGCAGATGGATCCGCTGCTTTTCACACAATTGAAATGATTTTCACACAGTTGATAATCTTGAAAAAGGAGGGCTGGCCAGGGAATGGTGTGTTGACGTAAAAGGAAAACTGAGAGATGCAAAGCGTTACTTAAAGACTGGTTATCGTGTACACTGCAAGCCAGAGGAATCCACATGCCCTGACCATTGTCGTAAGTATGCATTAAGGAGGCTCCCTACAGTTGCGTGCGGGATGTTCGCGGGACCAGTACGTGAACTATCCCACGCAACCGCATGATCAAAACAAAACAAAATATTTTTTTTTAAAAAAAGCTATTTCTGAAAGGTTTCTAATGGGAAAAAGCGTTGAATAATACTTCGTTTTGAGTGCCAAATTGCTTGCGAGTCTATACAGCAATTCTACATATGATACGAATACCACTAGACCAAAAATAGCTACGAAACAATGTTTTTTAATGTTTTTAAAATATACATTGTCAACTGTAAAACATTTGCAAAATTGCATACAAACGTTTAAAAAGTTGTTTACTTCTCAAGAAAACGTTCACGTTTTTAGTCGTGTTTCTACAAGATTAAAGTGATTATATGTAAACAGAAAAATATTTCAGTTTCCGATCTCTAATTGTTCATTTTTAGCAAAAAGTACAAAACCAAACATGAAACAAAAAAACACGTCCACCTGTTAATAGGCTGTTACAGCTCATAGATTGAGTAAACGGCAGGATTCAATTAGCTTCAACCTTGTTTTCATCGATTTAATCCTTCACAATAATCCTTGGCTGTCTGTGGCACTCAAATAAATCGAAAAGTTGACAAAAACAAAACAGTAAAAACATTGCGGCTCGATTTTGCTGAATGAAAACTCGTTCTGCGCCCGCGTACAATCTTTTACTAGTCAGCGACGCTTTTCAATAGGGGAATTTCTCGAGTTACACGAGGCTATTTTCTAACTTTATTTGCATTTTACTCATTAGTTTCGTCGGTGACCTATCTTCAAATTTTAACCACGAATTTATTTTGCGGTAAATTTTATAAATTTCAAATTTAAAAAAAATCTGTAGTGTGGAAATTTCGCAATAAATTTTTCGCTTTTAAAAAAATCGCACACTACAGAATTTTTTTAAACTTTCACCACAGTTGCAGAGCATCATTCCTTATTGATATATGAAATAAAAAAGATGGGTCACCGACATCGTTTTTGAGATAGCGGCACATTTATGGGTTAAATTGGAAGGCTTTATGCTGTCGTCATGTTGCCATGGGAACATTGACATCGTCGAAATCTAGTTCGAAATATTCCTTAGGTGACCAATATTACCACCAAGTCGAAAAGAATTCGCGTTCTGCACGAATAAGCCTGTTTTACGGAATTGTTGCTTAAACAAGAATAACTGTAGGGAGCCACCTTAAGCGACGAAAATGACTCCGATTATCAGGAAAAATGTTCACACCAACACTCTGAAATTTTCAAAGACTGCTGCAATCTCGTAGACGTCCTTCATGACATAGAGTGCAAAATTCAACGCTCAGTATGGAACCCGTACAGCGACGAGCAGCGAGAAGATCTACAATACGATTTTAAACAGGCTCGCTCGCACATCTCGCAATGGAAGGCTCACATACTTAGATCTGCTAACCAAGAAGCAGCAAAGCAGGATCACTTGAAGATAATTACCAACAAATCGAATGTGGCACTTGTAGTAATGGACTGGGCGATGAAGTTCCAGCAACTGAGGTATCGTGAAAAGCAGTCAGACTGGTTCGGTAAAAGAGGTGTAAGCTGGCACATATCTACGGTTATTTATAAGTAATAGCATAGAGAGAGGCGAATTAGCTATTAAAACGTCCCGCCCGATGAGGGTCGTTCAGTAAAAATCCCTTGGGCGCCGCTTGATGAGGGTATATCGCCATATCTTCTAAAGATACTGCTGAAGATGAATCAAAATAGATTTGAAAAAGACAGTTTTCAAAATAGATGAGTTGTTAAAAGCACTACTATCTGCATGCATGTTCCGCGGTTATTGTGCCTGGAGGCATTCAGCCAACCAAATGATGGCAGTCTGCCATATAAATATTTACAGTTCTTAAAGCTGCATGTGGTTGATGAAACAATTTCAAAATATATATAGTAAACTGTACAAGAACAGTTTTATCAGGTCAAAAATAGTTTTGTATTTGGTTTTGTAGATATATAAAGTGCTCGATACTGAAATTATGTATATATATATGGGCGGCCGTTACCACCAAAAATACTGCACGTGTGAAATGAATGGACATAAACAGAACTGATTCATTGTAAACACAAACGATTCATTGTGTGTAGAAATGATTGAACATAACGTAGTAACGTGACTGGACAAGATGAGAAACAATTCATCTAAACTTGAAATGATTCACCTCGCAGTGGTCTAATTCGATTAGTGCTGTGTTAATTCATGTAGACAATGTGAAATGGCTCAACGTGTTTTGCAATGATTTAACAAGTCATGAACAAATGATTCATTTCATGCTATTTTGAAACCATTTACCGTGTTTTGAAATGATTCAACTAAATGTAAAACGATTCAACTAAATGTGAACTGATTCAACTTAATGTGAATTGATTCAACTTAATGTGAAACGATTCAATATAACGTGAAACGATTCAATTTAATGTGAATTGATTCAACTAAATATGTAACGATTCAACATAATGCGATTCGACTGGATGCGATGTGAAGTGATTTGATGTATTTTGAAATGACGTAATTTGTGCGGTCTCGGCGCGTGTTGTTGTGAAGTGATTCAACTAGTTTTGAATTGATTCGACGTAATGTGAAATGGCTTAATTAAATGGGAAGTGATTGGATTAGATGGTGATTGAAATTAGTCGTTTCCACTTGGAAAAAAATTCCTTCAAAACAGAGAAGCAATTTGGTATTTTTCGTAAGTGCTTTTGGCTACTCTGCCGACCTCGTGTTGTTTTTCGAAACTGTTTCCCAAGGCGTTTTTTTATTTGCATTTATCGTGGAATTGTTGTTTAGCAAGGTAGGTTTCGGCTGTCTTGATGGAAATATAACAGTAAGAGTGTGATTTTCTTCTAGGAAAGTTTTAAATGTGCTTTTTGTATTGTTTTTATAAACATGTCACTATTAATACACGAGATAATTTGTCGAAATTTTTAATACAAGATACAACTTTTATAGTGCATTTATAATTTGCATTATCCTAAAATCCTAACTGCTGATTCGGCCTGAATCGGTCTATAAAATAAATATTTAAGCTGACGTTCAGGCGTAAATACTGATGACAAAAAAAACAACTCGCGGTATAAAATATTTCAGTACAATTTTATACTCCTGAGGGATGGAAATGAGGGAATGATCGCTTGATCAAAACAATTCGATTATTTGAATTTTGAAACACACAAATTTGAAAGCAAAGCGATTTGTTTTACTTCTTATAATACATAGCTAAACATGTATCAGTTTGCAACTTTGTTCTCATGAAAAATTGAAAATCCCTCTTCCATATTTCCAAAACATGTGATACAATGGTCATGCACTAACCATCTCCATTGTTCTTTTGCGTAAGCGCTATTCTTCAAGATTTGTCACTCAACAAGTGCCCTATAAACAGAAGTAGGCATTCCAGGGGGTGACTACTTCTGTTTAGGGTACTCTTGCCATAGAGATTATAAACAACACTAGACGGGAGGCATTGTAATCTTAATTCAGTAAAAAAAGGGGACACGGCTATTGGGGGGCAAAATCAAGTCCCGGATGTGTATTCGTGTTCCCATTGGTGACGAGTTTCAAATCAGCCAATGAGAGCACGATTTTATATCCGGGACTTGAATTTGCCCCCCATAGCTGCGTCCCAATAGTTTTAAACTTGATTCCTCCTCTAGTGTTATTTATAATCTCTATGGTACTTGCTGGGTAACGAATCATGACGAATAGCGCTTACGCAAAAAGCAATGGAGATGGCTTTCTGTATAGTATTCTATTCCCTTAGGCATGGGCTTAGGAAGCAAAGGCCCCCTTCCCCAATATTTAATAAGGTGGGGGGGCGGGATAACTTCTCGACCTCCAAAAATGATTGGATTTAAAAAGAAAATTACTGCGAAATTCTCGAAACTGGACGTATTTGAAACCGAATATCATATTAATAACGTATCTGCAATTAGCCTTTCTCACGCCGCCATTTTTGGGGTACGGTCTTTTCCAAATCTGAGATTGTGTATTGTTATTTCAATAAAATATAACAACATTCAGTTTGCTTGTTTTTGTCATTGGATGTTTTTGGTCTATGCTGCTTGTTAAGGCAGCGGTATTTAGTTGCTCAAATAATTATCCGGCTAACACAGTCGCAAACAAAAAATCAAAATTCAAATCGAATTGTTTTGATCAAGCTATCATTCCCTCATTTCCATCCCTCAAGAGTATAAAATTGTACTTTGAACTGGTTTTCAATACACAGACGCAGTATATATTGAGGTTATGACCGACAGGCGACATTCCTTAAAAAGAGGCGACAGACTATCTAAAAAAGAGCGACAAACGACAGCTTCTGATTGGGGAAAAGCGACAAATTGCGATTTGTGTTATGGGTCAAAAGTGACAGCAACATTTATTACAATAAGGGGCCGATTACATGGAGCATTTTCAACCCCGGGGTTGAAATTTCAACCCAGCTTCAGGTAGCATGGTTAAAATTTCAACCCCGGGGTTGAACTCAGCCCTGGGTTGAAAATTTTGTCATGTAATTGTTTCAACCCAGGGCTGAAATTAGAGTTATTCGAACATGCGTGGTAGTGAGTTTATTACAAGAAAACAAAATAAAGGCTTTTTACTTCCGCGAATCGATGCCGGTAACGCATAGTATAACGTTTTAACCCCGGGGTTGAAATCGTCCATGTAATCGCAAAAAATTTCAACCCGGTTAATAGGGCTGAGTTCAACCCCGGGGTTGAAAATAATCCATGCAAGGACGAAACTTGAGCGGGGTGTGCCCCCCCCCCCCACGTACAAATCATCTGGATTGGCAGGGCAAATCATCTGGATTGGCAGGGCAATGAAAGATTTTAAATGATAGAATGTAGAGTTATTAAGTAGCTTCCAGGACTTCCAGAGGGAATTTAATAGAATTTATAGAACTAAATTTTACAGATATTCGGGTAAAAAAATAAGGGTTTCATTCATGTTTTAACAGGAATTTGTCCGAAAAAATTTTTTTGACCCTTAATTTAATTGGTTTATGCCCGGAAAAATTTTTTCGCCCCTTTTTTAAATGTACGGAAAAATTTTTTTCGACCTTCCAACATTTTTGAGAGAAAGTGGAAAAAAAACTTTTGCTGCATGGCATCATCGGCTTTCGCAGAGCAAGTATAGCAGACAACCCCCCACCCCCAATTAAAAGGGGCTAGTTTCGCACCTGGCTCCATGTAATCGGCCCCTAAAACAAGCGACAAAATAGCTACAAAATTAGTGACAAAAATACACCCTTGGTGAGCCTCTATATTGAAATATTTTATACCGCGAGTTGTTTTTTTTGTCTTCAGTATTTACGCCTGAACGTCAGCTTAAAGATTTATTTTATAGGCCGATTCAGGCCGAATCAGCAGTTAGGATTTTAGGATAATGCAAATTATAAATGCACTATAAAAGTTGTATCTTGTATTAAAAATTTCGACAAATCATCTCGTGTATTAATAGTGACATGTTTATAAAAACAATACAAAAAGCACATTTAAAAACTTCCCTAGAAGAAAATCACACTCTTACTGTTATATTTCCATCAAAACAGCCGAAACCTACCTTGCTAAACAACAATTCCACGATAAATGCAAATAAAAAAACGCCTTGGGAAACAGTTTCGAAAAACAACACGAGGTTGGCAGAGTAGCCAAAATCACTTACGAAAAATACCAAATTGCTTCTCTGTTTTGAATGAATTTTTTCCAAGTGGAAACGACTTATTTCAATCACCATCTAATCCAATCACTTCCCATTTAATTAAGCCATTTCACATTACGTCGAATCAATTCAAAACTAGTTGAATCACTTCACAACAACACGCGCCGAGACCGCACAAATTACGTCATTTCAAAATACATCAAATCACTTCACATCGCATCCAGTCGAATCACATTATGTTGAATCGTTACACATTTAGTTGAATCAATTCACATTAAATTGAATCAATTCACATTACATTGAATCGTTTCACATTAAGTTGAATCAATTCACATTACATTGAATCGTTTCACATTAAGTTGAATCGTTTCACATTATATTGAATCGTTTCACATTACGTTGAATCAATTCAAAACTAGTTGAATCACTTCACAACAACATGCGCCGAGACCGCACAAATTACGTCATTTCAAAATACATCAAATCACTTCACATCGCACCCAGTCGTTTCACATTAAGTTGAATCAATTCACATTTAGTTGAGTCAATTCACATTAAGCTGAATCAATTCACATTAAGTTGAATCGTTTCACATTGTATTGAATCAATTCACATTATAGTGAATCAATTCACATTATATTAAATCAATTCACATTAAGTTGAATCAATTCGCATCAAGTTGAATCGTTTCATATTTAGTTGAATCAATTCACATTATATTGAATCAATTCACATTAAGTTGAATCAGTTCACATTTAGTTGAATCGTTTCACATTTAGTTGAATCATTTCAAAACACGGTAAATGGTTTCAAAATAGCATGAATCATTTCTTCATGACTTGTTAAATCATTGAAAAACACGTTGAGCCATTTCACATTGTCTACATGAATTAACACAACACTAATCAAATTAGAAAACTACGAGGTGAATCATTTCAAGTTTAGATGAATTATTTCACATCTTGTCCAGTAACGTTACTACGTTATGTTCAATCATTTCTAAACACAATGAATCATTTGTGTTTATAATGAATCATTTCTGTTTATGTCCATTCATTTCACACGTGTAGTATTTTTGGTGGTAACGGCCGCCCATAGTTCAAACTGCACATGAGATGGATCACTTAAAGATGCAATATCTATCCAGTACATCATAAATAGATCCTCACCTCTTTAGCGACTTTTTCCAATGCCAGGTTGGTTAAGGTCTTCGGGCCTCCGATCCAGGTCATATTCTTAAAGATTTCGCTGATTATTGTAGCATTGAAATTATTATCAAGATTGAATCTTATACCAGTCGTGGCATTATCACTAAATTGGAGGAATCCAATGCGTATCATATTGCGGCTTACGTCCAAACGTGATACCAATTTGCTTAAACAATTTCGAACTTTTTTTATAGGCCCAGGTCCAATGCTGGCTGAGTCATCAACGACAAGGAATAAGTCCCTTGGCTTTCCAACACATTTTTCTAAAGAATGAAAAACACTGTCGCAATTGAGCTATACTATAAATAACTATATACTTACATTATTTATACTAGCTAGATCATTCTGTCATGCAGTCTGATCATATATATATATATATATATATATATATATATATATATATATATATATATATATATATATATATATATATATATATATATATATATATATATATATATAGATATATAGATATATAGATATATATAGATTGCAATCCTTAAACTCTAAAACCTTAAACCTTAAACTCTAAGCGAAAATGTTCTCGAGCGTGTATTTCATAATTTCCATACCCAGCGCAAGCAGAAAGATATTGTCTGCCGCGACTGGGTCTTGAACCCGCGACCTTCGAATTACTAGATCGACGCTCTACCAACTGAGCTACACGGTCAGACGGATTTAAGAGGCAGTCCGTGTAAAAACCGACCACTCGAATTTCTTAAGATTACAGATTTCCTTCTAACTTTCTGTGTGGAAAAAGTCATTCATAAAATGAACAAAAAACGTTGACTTTGAAATTGTAGTCAGTTTTAAAAAATCTTTCGCAATTATTTTCGGACGCGTTCGAAAACAAGTTAAAACGTTAATTACGCAAATGATATTTGAGCTTTATTATATCTCACAGTTCATCTCGCGCTTTTATTCTAACTTCTTGAAACTTACATATTTTATTATTTTCTGCCTAGGCATAGACCAAAACTAAAAATTATGCTGATCACTTGAAGCAAACAATATATTGTGTATTTTTAAAAACGTCTTTCAGACAGCTGATTAAATATTCGTGTTAGTATGCTGGCGGTAAATTATTTTTTCTCAAAAGTGCAACGGTATCAGGTATCCAATCTATTGCAGCCACTGAGTATTATGACACATCTACTAGAATAAATAATAAAATCTTTGGGCAGTGTGTTTTTCGCCTGACAAGCGCGTCATGAATATAGTCAATTTTCGCTAATTCCTCTAATTATAAGCTATAATTTCTTTTTGTATTTACTTAAATTTTTCGAGTTAAAAACATACAAAACTGTTTACTGTTTCAAATATGGCTGTTTTTTGGATAGAGAGTAAGTTATAAATATGCCAGCAATTATATATGCTTTAAATTTTACGTTTATTGGTATCATTAAATACTACATGGATGGTATATATAAACAAAAATGTATAAGAAAAGTGCGGGAAAGGATATATGTGTGCCAATTTATACGAATGTCTTGAAGGAGCACTTTTTTCTCATCAGTCATAGATCAGGAGTACTTTTTTTTGGGACACCCGGTATATATATATATATATATATATATATATATATATATATATATATATATATATATATATATATATATATATATATATATATATATATAATATATATTTTTACAAAATTATACAGTGTTCTCCGGATTGTAATAATTTGTTAAAAAAAAAGTACAAACAAATAAAACAAAACAAACAAAACAAAAAACTGACAAAAAACAAACAAAACAAAACAAATTATTACAATCAACAAACAAATTATCAAACAAATTATTACAATCCGGAGAACACTGTATAATTTTGTAAAAATTATAATTTAATAAAATGCCTGGATTACAAATCTTCAAATCTATTAAATATAATATATATATATATATATATATATATATATATATATATATATATATATATATATATATATATATATATATATATATATATATATATAATGAAGGTTGCAGTTAGCAACCGAAAATTTAGAACTTTTTTAGACTTTTTATTGTACATATTCTAGTATTTTAAAAAGAATTTTAGACCAGCTTCAACTCCAAAACTATCATGTATTCCACTGGTCGCCCCAACAGCATATATATATATATATATATATATATATATATATATATATATATATATGATAGTTTTGGAGTTGAAGCTGGTCTAAAATTCTTTTTAAAATACTAGAATATGTACAATAAAAAGTCTAAAAAGTTCTAAATAACTGCAACCTTCATCAGAGTACTAAGAGCAGTTCGGATAGTTCAAGGTTTTTAAATATCGTCATTATTGCCACATGATTGCACAAGCGATAAATACATGCGTGGGAATTCTTTGTGTTCGTTAATTGTTTTATTGTCTAATATTGAATGCATCGACTCGAGGAACGTTCGTTTTTCTAAATTATGTACTCTTTTCTCTAAGATTGTAGCATTGTTAATAGAGGCATTATGTCCTGTGCTCTCTGCGTGGTCTTTGATTGCTGACTTAATCTCCGGTCTTACGCCTGGTTTGTGTTCTGCCCAACGTGATTGCCACGATCTCTTACTTTCTCCAACATACTTAAATGAGCAATCTGGACATTCGAATTTATAAACAATGCCTTTAACCTCCGTGATCTTCTGCTTGTCTTTTGGTTTACCAAAAATGTCCCCTAAGCATGGCATGGGTTTATATATTGTCTTAATACCAGCACTTTTAAGCAGCTGTTTTATCTGTTCTGATATGCCTTTCATGTATGGAATACAAGATAACCCTTTAATTTCCGGTTCGTCATTAGTGTTGGAAAACGACGTGCTGGAACTTGTCTGGAAGATGAATTTCTCTGGATATCCGTTGAGCTTTAATTCTTGGACAACACGTTCCTTTTCTTCCTGTTTTTTATTGTCAGTAGAAGGAATGCTGTCGGCTCGATCAAGTAAGGTCTTAACTACGGCTCGCTTACTTTGGGTGGGATTATGAGAGTGAAAGGATAGATATTTATTGGTATGTGTATCCTTACGGTATACACTTACTTCAATGGTACCGTTTTTAAGAATTGTAATGTGGGTATCAAGGAAAGAAATTGCTTCACCGTGGTTTGATTCTGATGGCAATTCAATTGTAAACTGAATGTTTTTGTTGATAGTGTTCAGGTGGGTGTGGAATTGTTCAATGTCACTTTTGCGTAGACATGAATTGGAGTCGTCAACATACCTTCGCCACCAGCGTACTGGGACAGGTGACGTGTTGATGGCAATTGACTCTATCTCTTGCATTACTATCTCAGCTATGACTGCACTAACAGGTGATCCCATGGCGCATCCTGACTTCTGATGATAGTGTGTCTCATTGAATTTAAAGTAACAATTGCTAAGTAGGAATTTTAATAGTTTCACAACTTGTTCTTCTTTCAGTGCTGTATGTGACTTCCATGAATCAGTTTCTTTAAGTTTCTTTTGTACAATATGCAAGGCAAACGGAACAGGTATGGATGTGAATAAGGACACAACATCAAAAGAGACGATAGTTTCATCCGTCGCTAACCTTTGACTTTTGGCAAAATCAGCGAATTCCTTCCCATTATTTATAGAAAACTCGTTTTTTGCGCAAAAGGTCTTTAACAATTTTGCAAGGTGTTTTGATAGGGAATATGTAGGTGAACCAATGTTGCTGTTAATTGGACGTAAAGGAATGACGTCCACAGAACTTTCGCTCAGGGTATAGTGGTCTTAGTTGCAGATGAGAGACACTTTATTGACTTTTGGCAAACCATAAAATGTAGCAGGGGAAGAATCAAAAGCTCGTAGCTGCCAATATTTTCTATCAGTTATGTTTCCCGAGCGTCGAAGCTCTGCAACCAAGACCACTATACCCTGAGCGAAAGTTTTGTGGACGTCATTCCTTTACGTCCAATTAACAGCAACATTGGTTTACCTACATATTCCCTATCAAAATACCTTGCAAAATTGTTAAAGACCTTTTGCGCAAAAAACGAGTTTGCTATAAATAATGGGAAGGAATTCGCTGATTTTGCCAAAAGTCAAAGGTTAGCGACGGATGAAACTATCGTCTCTTTTGATGTTGTGTCCTTATTCACATCCATACCTGTTCCGTTTGCCTTGCATATTGTACAAAAGAAACTTAAAGAAACTGATTCATGGAAGTCACATACAGCACTGAAAGAAGAACAAGTTGTGAAACTATTAAAATTCCTACTTAACAATTGTTACTTTAAATTCAATGAGACACACTATCATCAGAAGTCAGGATGCGCCATGGGATCACCTGTTAGTGCAGTCATAGCTGAGATAGTAATGCAAGAGATAGAGTCAATTGCCATCAACACGTCACCTGTCCCAGTACGCTGGTGGCGAAGGTATGTTGACGACTCCAATTCATGTCTACGCAAAAGTGACATTGAACAATTCCACACCCACCTGAACACTATCAAAAAAAACATTCAGTTTACAATTGAATTGCCATCAGAATCAAACCACGGTGAAGCAATTTCTTTCCTTGATACCCACATTACAATTCTTAAAAACCGTACCATTGAAGTAAGTGTATACCGTAAGGATACACATACCAATAAATATCTATCCTTTCACTCTCATAATCCCACCCAAAGTAAGCGAGCCGTAGTTAAGACCTTACTTGATCGAGCCGACAGCATTCCTTCTACTGACAATAAAAAACAGCAAGAAAAGGAATGTGTTATCCAAGAATTAAAGCTCAACGGATATCCAGAGAAATTCATCTTCCAGACAAGTTCCAGCAGGTCGTTTTCCAACACTAATGACGAACCGGAAATTAAAGGTTATCTTGTATTCCATACATGAAAGGCATGTCAGAACAGATAAAACAGCTGCTTAAAAGTGCTGGTATTAAGACAATATATAAACCCATGCCATGCTTAGGGGACATTTTTGGTAAACCAAAAGACAAGCAGAAGATCACGGAGGTTAAAGGCATTGTTTATAAATTCGAATGTCCAGATTGCTCATTTAAGTATGTTGGAGAAAGTAAGAGATCGTGGAAATCACGTTGGGCAGAACACAAACAAGGCGTAAGACCGGAGATTAAGTCAGCAATCAAAGACCACGCAGAAAGCACAGGACATAATGCCTCTATTAACAATGCTACAATCTTAGAGAAAAGAGTACATAATTTAGAAAAACGAACGTTCCTCGAGTCGATGCATTCAATATTAGACAATAAAACAATTAACGAACACAAAGAATTCCCACGCATGTATTTATCGCTTGTGCAATCATGTGGCAATAATGACGATATTTAAAAAACCTTGAACTATACGAACTGCTCTTAGTACTCTGATGAAGGTTGCAGTTAGCAACCGAAAATTTAGAACTTTTTAGACTTTTTATTGTACATATTCTAGTATTTTAAAAAGAATTTTAGACCAGCTTCAACTCCAAAACTATCATATATATATATATATATATATATATATATATATATATATATATATATATATATATATATATATATATATATATATATATATATATATATATATATATATATATATATATATATATATATATATATACCCTCA